GTTAAAAAGTGGGCAAAGAACATAAACAGACATTTTTCAAAAGAAGACATACAAATAGCCAACAAGCATATGAAAAAATGCTCAACATCACTAATCATCAGAAAAATGCAAATTAAACCAAAATGAGATAGCATCTTATACCAGTCAGAATGGCTATTATCAAAAAGACAAAAAAAAAATAATAACAGGTCAGGAGGATGAGGAGAGTGAATAATGCTTATACACTGTTGGTGGGAATGTAAATTAGCACCATCTTTATGGAAAACACTATGGAGATTTCTCAAAGAACTAATAATAGAGCTACCATTTAATACAGTAATCCCACCACTGGATATTTACCCAAAGGAAAGGCAATCATATCAAAAAGATATCTACACTCATACGTTTATTACAGCACTATTCACAACTGCAAACATATAGAATCAATGTAACTGACTATCAAAGCATGATTGGATAAAGAAAATGTGGTATATAAACACAATAGAATACTATTCAGCCATAAAAAAGAATAAATCATGTATTTTGCAGCAACATGGATAGTTATCATCAGTGAAACAACCCAGAAACAGAAAGACAAATACTTCATGTCCTCACTTATAACTGGGAGTGAAATAATGTGTAAACATGAACATAGAGTGTTGAATGATAAACAATAGAAACTCAGAGGGTGGAGTGCAGAGAAAGGATGGATGATGAGAAATTACTTAAAGGGTGCAATGTCATTATTCCAGTGGTGGATGCACTAAAAGCCCTGAGTGCACCACTATGCAACAATCTGTCTGTGTAACACAGTTATGCTTGTACCTCATAAATTTATACAAATTTTTAAAAATTAAAAAATGCAACATATGATCTAAGATTGGATCCAGGATTGGAAATTTGGAAATTTAACATTAATGGTGATTGGTGAATTGTGAATAGCCTTTACATTAGGTATCAATATTTAAATGGTGATTTCCTGACACTTATCATTGTACCACTCTTATGAAATATGTTAGCATTTAACATGGGAGCTCTTTGTACATTTACATATTTTATAGATCTGAAAATATTTCAAAAAGTAAAAGATAAATTTTTTAAACACTTGCCAATGACATTTATCCAAGGTAAAATCCACACCCTGAAAAACAAAGCCAAACACCTTTCCAGGAATATAAAAAACATATTTCATGGTGGTGAAAGCCCCTATAAAATGTGTTTTATTAAAAAAATAAGAATCATAGTTGTACAAATGAACATACAAACTAACCACATTTGTAATAAGCACTCTGTGTATGGAGTAGTGTGGGGAAGAAAAGAGTCATGTTGAATTTTGAACTACTCATTTCTTTTGGCTATTGATAATGAAAGGGTGGCAACTTTCACAGAATCCCAGGCCACGAGAATACATCCTGCAAAACACATCTTCCAGTCACTTATGGAAATCTGATGACAGCTCAATGTGAAAAGCCTCTCCTCAGCCAAAATAGTAAAAAAACAGATCATCACAGAAACTATACAATTATCTAAAATAAAACGAAAATCAGAGCGCTGCAATATACTAAATGTCCTCTAACAACTTCTCAACAGAAAAATATGTTGCCAAGAATTAGGGGGGAATTCAGTTAATTCAGAATTTAAAAACTATGTAATGAATCTGTTACAGATGATCCCCAACTGGAAATGGTTCAACTTACAATGTTTCACCTTTACAATGGTATAAAATCAATACACACTTAGTAAAAACCATACTTTGAATTTTCAATTTTGATAATTTCCCAGGCTAACGATATCCATGTTAGTGTTCCGAACATCTCTAAGGCAGGGTAGGCTAAGCTACGGTGTTTGGTAGGAAGGTTAGGTGTACTACACGCATCGTTGACTTATGATATTGGTTACAATGAGTTTCTTAGGACATAGCCCCATCATAAGTCAAGGAGCATCTATACATCATCAATAAGAAAGAATTCACATGAGGAATATAAGATGATGAGATAACAGAAGGGATCAAAAATATAGAAATAAAGTACATATATTCATTCAGGCACCTATATGAAGTGTTTCCATATTTGGACTGATTTTCTGAATCAAAAAGGAATTAAATAAAATCATACTATCTTTGGTCTCCCACTAAGTATTTGTCATGACATCGGGTAAATTTTAAACATTTATGGACCACAGATTTACTCTTTGAAACAATGAATGCAAAATAGATCATATCTCTGAAACTACCCAGATTACTATGATCCCCCAAAATTTATAATGAGAGGTCTAGAGTTTACTTACGTTCGCCTTGCACAAAGTCATCCAAGAATTCATCAAAATGTTTTGGCTGCTTCTGTCTCAATTCTCCTTTTAATAAATGATACCAAGAGGTAACAATATCTCTTGGATTCCTTATGATATAAATGATCTAAAAGATACAAGAAGTTTATGAAAGTGCAGTATGAATATTTATGTCTGTCTGCTCTTCTGAGTGATCCACATTTCCTCACATCCCAAACCCAAACTGCTTATCTGTTCAAACACAGCTGGTATTATTCAACAGAAATATTCACTCTCAAACCATTACTCTTTTAATACAAGCTGCCTTCCCTTTCCACTCTCCCGTTAAAGAATGCTAAATTTATCTTAACCTTGTCCAAGTTTAATAATTAATTGGTAATAGCTGTCCTGTCCCACTACATTAAGAAAAATCTAGAACTGACCTCTGAGTTCACAGAGCGAATACTATGATCAGTTAATTATGACTGCCATGGATGTGGGGGCAAGGGACACTGGCGTATGTGCCATGGATTTGGATTACTTCCTTAGATGCACCATCTCATCAAAGGAGAGAACATTCCCCTGAGATCCCTTCAAAAGGACCCACATCCACGCACCTTGGCATTGGAGGTAAAGTAGGACTTGGGGAATAATTGTACGGGGAGATGTGACGTCATGAGGCGTGATCCATCCTGTTTCTTTATGTTTTCCTGAGAATATTTACTCTCTATCCATGGGGATCTGACATAATTTGGGACACTTTGGACCAAGCTAGCGTCCCCGTTATAGTAGATCAGACTGAGAATCTCAATCATCCAGTGTGTTCCTGGTAGTAAAATAAAAGAGAGAATCACAATATTAATATGATGCATTAACATTATGAAGATGTTTCACACATTGGGTGCCCAGAGTTCTTCAATCACTTGTGGGCCCCTATAATCTTGACTATCAATTCTACAGTCTCTGTTCCCACCCCCTTGTCACTTTGTACCCTCTTCCCCAGGAGATATTCCCATGAAAATGATGCCTGAAAGCAGAATAATCACCAATTTATATCCCCAGGCGGATGCCCACTGTGCTTTGGTTTTATCAGCCCACCTGACTCCTTAGCCTCCCAGAATGTTTTCACTGGGAGTCCCAATAACATGATGTTGGCAATTTGATAGCCATCACATTGAATCTGTAGAGCGCTTTGGGCAGTATAGTCATTTTAATAATATTCTTCCAATCCATGATGTCTGTCCATCTGTTCTTATCATCTACAATGTCTTTCATCAGTATTTTTGTATTAATAGTTCATCTTGTAGAGATCCTTCACCAGCTTGGTAAAATATATTCCTATAGAGTTTTGTGTAGTCATTGTAAATGTGATTGCTTTCTTGATTTGGCTCTAGGCTCAACAACCGTCTCTCCCAATTTTACCATAAATAAACTTAAATTGTATGTAAAATCAGGTTTCTGGCTATGTACACACGGCTACAAGACAAATGCCTCTGGCCTCAATGTTAGCCAATTTGCCACACACAGGCCATTTCTTGTGAAATTCTGGATGAGACATGGCATGAGGAATTAGGAGATGGGCAAAGGGGGGCTGCTTTAATCAGGTTTCCTAAAAGCAGAGTGTGAGACAGGAAATCTTGTAGAAGTGATTAATTGAGAGAATGCTCACAGCAGGAACCTATTAATATGACGAGTGAGGAAATCAGGAAAGGGCATTAGAAGAAAGTCATCTCAGTGTGGTGTCCTGGGTCCTCTGGCGCATTCGTGGCACTACAGAGCTGCTCCAACTTGAGGGGAGAGGCCGGGTCTTCTCTATCAGTCCCCCTTCGACTGCAGACCAGCACCGAGGAGAGGCATCAGCCCCAGGCACTTCCAGAAGGCATTCCCACAGCCGGGGTCCATTCTCCACCCAATGGTGGAGTGAGGTCTTTTGGGTGGGGACCCTGCAGCCTTGGGGCCATGGAACCTGGAGTGTGGCCTTTTGACTGAATCCAAATGTTGCAGAACAAATCCTTTTCATAAAGAAAGGGGACTATTGGGAAGGCATGACTGCATTTTCTTATGTGGCAAGAATGGTGCAGGGTGCCCACCATTCCTGTGTTGGTCTCTTTTAAACAATCAGATCTCACGGCAATAAAAGAGCAAGAATACACTTGTTACCCTGAGGATGGCATCAAGGCATTCACCATGGATCTGCCCCCATGACCCAAACACCTCCCACCAGGCCCTATGTCCAACATCTGGGATCAAATTTCAACATGAGACTTGGAGGGGACAGACATCCAAACCAACCATAGCATTCCACTCCTGGTCCCCAAATCTCATTTCCTTCTCATGAAAAATACAACTACCCCTTCCTAATATTTCCCAGAGGTCCTAACTCCCTCCAGAAACCTCAAAAGTTAAAATTCCAAAGTCTCATCTGAGACTCAAGGCAAGCTCCTGACAGATGTGAGCCTGTAAAATCAAAAACAGATAACATACTTCGAACACACACACACACAGACACACAAAGGCATGCACACAGGCACACACCCTTCACAGACACACACATTCTTCTTACCTGATCTAGGGTAACTCACTAGGATGACATCATCGTCTTTCACCAGAAATTCATCCCGGGCAAAGCACACATTCTCTAGAGGTGTAAAGTGTGAATTCATCCATATCCCCTCAAACAGGAATTTACTGGTCATCTTGAAACAGTTTTGCAGTGAAGCAGCCAGGGCTGACAGATCCACGGTCTGATACTGGACGCAACAGCCCCTTAAATCAGGCAGAGAAAAAAGCCAAACTCCCTCACTAATGTAGTTACTAATGCAGAACAAACCACGGTTCTCTGAAGGTCTAGGACAGCAGGTCTTACTCAATAGTTGGGATTAAAGAGAGAGGACCTTGACAGAGAGTTAAAATTTGGACTTATTAGGTAAGTGAAACATCTAAAGATCAGAAAATTGAACACCACGGTTTTTCACTGTCACACTGGAACTAACCGATCAGCACTCATGCTCACAGATGGAAGTAAAACACAAAAGAAATCATGCAGGTGGGAGGGAGAATGAGATGGGTAAAATCACACCTGATGGGTACAATGTCCACTATCTGGGTGATGGGCATGCTTATAACTTTAACTCAAGCAGTACAAAAGCAGTCCATGTAACCAGAACATGGGTACCCCCATGATATTCTGAAATTAAAAAGAAAACTTGGAATTAGACCTGAATAACCCTTGAAAAATCGGGAGAATGTGACATCCAGACTAGTAAGCAGGAGGGTAGAGAATGAGACCAAAGACAGGAAATAGCAGCTTGTGGAAAGAAGTCACTGAGTGTTTTCCATTGAAAGAAAATGAGTGTTCACGGGCAGAGGGGCTCCCTAGGGTCCTTCTTCAGGCCAGTGGCTCTGTAGGAGCCTCACTGATTTCCTGTCTCTCAGGCTTCAGCATCCTTACAGTCTTACTTTAGCAAATCCCCCATGGGAGGACACTCTGGTACAACAGGAGTAGAGTCACTTTGAAGTGGCTAATGCTTGTCTCACCTAAAAGGTGTCCTGGGACTTCTGCCTTCTCTCTGGGAATGCACAGAACTAGAATGAGCCTTGCTGCTTTATTTACAGGAAAAAGGGTGGCATAACTTGGAATTCTGATCTTTTTTGGAACTGTCAGAGAACTGGAGTTGCAGTGAAAACAACCTTAAAGCCAAGTACAGACACTGTCTGCAAGGAAAGGGAATGTGAATATCCACTCACCTGGGTCAACACAATAAGATAACTCTTAGAAGACTTATTCTAGAATAGCTTCCAAACCAGTGAAGACATATCACAGGCTGCTAGGACAGTGAAAAATCTGGGGACTGCAGAAATTAGTGAAATCTTCACCCTATTTCAGGCTCCTCCTTCAAGAATCCCACCAGACACTCACATAAAATGTTTAAAAGA